GGACGATTTTGACTGGGGACATGATTTTGATCATGCACATTTTACAGCACGAGCGTCGGATGTCTTTATCCATGATGGCTCACAGCAGAGGGCAAGATTTGACATCCACGGAGTTGCTGGGGACATGCAACCCACGGGAGACTTATCTTCCTCTTCAACTCAAGGGCTATTTGTTGCAGAGGGGATGAGCAACATGATGCGTCTCATTTCTCGAACAACACGGACTCCTGTTCCAATGTTGACTTTTGCCACCAGCGCCCGGCTCCTGCGGAACATGGTAGCCGGTCTCGCCTGACAGTGATTGGAGGCACTGCCGATCCCACGAGCAGGCCCCTATACAGAGGACTTCAAGATGAACCAGCATGTCCTCTATGACTATGCCACTTCGACCGACCTATTGATGCAGAACCTGACTATGGTTGTTGGGAACCCGAGCCAAAGATGTTTTGCAAACGCCCATGGAGGGCTTTCACTTGGTTGTGCGCCTTTCTACAAGAGCACAACCTCCAAGAGAGCCTGGAGACCAGTGAAGCCGTGGACCTCCAATTGGGCGCCAGCCACTTCGTGAACACACTGTGGTTGGCCACTCAATCCAGAGCCTTCACCTACAGGTATGCCGAGATCCAACCAGGGGGCTTCCTCAAGGACCACATCCAGATGCCCATCCACATTGACTTTCCTGCCCACTGCCCAGATGAGGTGCACTTGCAAGACCTCACCAACGAGTGGCGCAATGAAGGATTGGGCCAATACTTCATGGATGAGAAGACAGCTCTAGTGTGCCATCTCAAACGTGACACGGAGATTGACGGCCCCAGATCACCAAGCACCACCGCACCATGAATCCTCATGGCACCTTCACAGTGCCAGTCTCCCTTGATGGATTCTCCAGACGGCAAGAAGAGTACGTTCCGGTTGCACTCATCTGTCACAAGGGCCATAACCACATGTCCGGCCACTACTATGCAGTCCTCATGTACCGGGACCTCCTCTGGTTGGCCGACGACGGACAGACGCCCAAGGTGATTCCCATTTGACGCGACAAATGGCTAGTGACATAATACAACTTTGGGCCATCCAAGTCTCCCATTTCAGGACTCCATCCCTCACCAAGCAAGAGAGCAAAGCCCAATGCAGATGCCATGCGTCTCTACTTCGCCAACTGCACCAGCTTTGGCAAACAAGTCATTGAATGGTATTGGGAGTGCGAGCTTTACATCTTCGTTGAAACCCATCTGGACCAGCAGCAGCACGCAAGCGCCTGCCAATATTTCACCACACGTGGCCGGCAGGCCATCGGAATGGCTGCAGCCAAGAATACCACCAACGACGCGACTCATGGTGGCATCCTCATCGGGGACCATACAGAAGGGCCCACCCTCATCGACAGCTACGACGTCAATGGGTGCGGCTTTGTTGCCTGCCTGTCGCAGCAAAGGGAACTCCCGCTACTGCTTGTAGCTGTCTGCCTCAAGCGTTCCGACACCTTGGCGACTGGAACACACCCCCAGTTCCTTTGAGGAGACCGTCCTTGGTTCCAAGTTTGCCTGGCAGATTGTGGCTCCGCCCCAAACCTTGCCATCAGGGGCCGTTTTGGACTACGCCCTGGTCCAGAAACAACTGGCTGAATGCACGTCCGTGCAGACTGAATGGGCTGTTCCCTGGCGGCCTCATGCCTTGGTCTCTTTGACCTTCGAACTGGATGCAGCCACCCGGATCTACAGACAACCGTGTCCCTTTCCAGCAATGCCACGCACACCAGACATTGATTTCCGGCCATGGAGCACATACACCTCATTGGCCACAGCAATTCAGCTCTATGACATCGAACCCAATCAAGAGGCACAATCCTTGGCTGACTGGGTTTCAATTACAGAGCAGTACTTGCTCCAGGAACACCCTTGGCAACCACAAGGATGTGGCTATTGGGTGCAGGCGGCGCACACGCCCTTGGCCAAACCGCCCGCCGGTCCTATGTGGCGCAGAGGCAAACCAGCCTATTGGGAGCAGCTCAAAGCAAGACTTCAACTTGCATTACAAGCGCCCGCAGGACAATACAGGCCCATCACTGGATTCCTTCATGCCGCCGTGGATGCGGTTGGACCATGGCCCACACCTTTCTGGACATCCCGTACCACTGGAAACAGTACCGGGACGATAGATCTGCCAAGCTACTGAGGCACACCATCCAACACCAACTTGCTGAAGCCCACCAGAGACGAAGCAGCGCTCCAATACCAGCACTACCTCCAACAAGGTGAAGCCAAAGGGCTGAGGGGCCTTTTCAGATGTCTCAAAGCCTCAGAACTTGCATGGCAAAGGCCCTACACACAACTTGAAGTCCAACAACGAATGCCTCAACGAATGCAGGACTGGGCCAAGCTCTGGCAAATTCGAGACACCAGAGATCCGGTACCGTTGGCCAATGCTGAGCAGCTTTTGCAAGACCCCAAACAACGTGCAGCATCTCTGCCAGAGATCTCTCTTGGACACTTGGCACATGTGCTCAAACATCTCCCAGACCGTGCTGCTGGACGGCGTCCCCACCCAACTTGTACGCACGGCACCACCTCAGGCACTCCAACCACTCCGACAGATCCTCTGCCAGCCGATGATGCTGCCGCACGGGCCATAAGGGCCATGGAGACTGCAAGGAAAAGAGCCCGTAGGAAAAATTACATACATACATACATACATACGTACATACATACATACATACATTGGGCAACTTGCCAGGACACTCAAAGCCCTGCCCAACAAGGCCAGTGGCCCAGATTCAATTTCAGCACAGCTTCTTCGGACAGCGCCGCCGCTTTCCCTACAACCGTGGTTGAAGCTCATCCATGAGATGGAGCAAGCAGCTCAACTACCAACCCAGTTGAAGATGCACATGGTGGCGATGCTGCCAAAGAACCAGACCATCGAGCGCCCCATCACCCTGACCTCTGTGCTCTACAGGGTGTGGTGCCGACTCCGAAAACCCGTGCTCGATGACTGGCAGCGCAACCTACCACCTCACATGAACCATGGAGGCCGGGGGCAAATGTGCTGCAGGTAGCCTTGGAAAGGCTGCTACGCCAGGAAGTACACAGGGCAAACGGCCAACATGGCAGCAACCATAGCTTACCTCCAAGAATGGGGTTGGGATACACAGCAACTCATGCATTGGACCAGACAGGAAACACAACTTCTCGTGAGCAACGACATCACACTCAACGCACCATGGTGGCAGATTGAAAGCCTACTGTACAAAGAGGCTCAACAACAAAGAGTCAGCACAGGCATTGATTGGCATGTCAAGCTTCCAGAGAGACAGCGACTGCGACTGCACCTCAAGACATGGGTCCAAGGAGCGCTCCAATTCCGGGATTCCAAGGCAGCCAAACCCTGTCCACTGTGCCATGCCCCAGCCACACCAAAGCATATCCAGGGGCCAGCACCATGAACCCCTACCGGCGGAATGGCTGGAGCGTTGCCCAGAAGAAGAATCATTATGGTCTAAAGGGTGGATCCAGTTGGAACGCCAGTCCAAGCCCAGGGCTCTCTTTGCGGGGCTGGTGGCCACCACTCACCGTTCAGCTCAGCTCTGTCTGGGAAGTCAATACCAAGACCTCTTGAACAACGTCACCGAAAGGGACAGGCAACGAATCACTGTCCTCTACATCAGCAGAAACACAAGGACACCAGACGCCCCGGGCAATGTGAACCCCAGCTTCGAAGGCCAGAGAGACTCTCTGACAGCATGAAACCGAGCCAATGGCATGCACGACCGCCGCCTCACAGAGTGGCAGAAGACCCTTGACCAAGACCACAAGATGATCTACATACAGGCTGTCAAGAGGCTAGAGAAGATCTTTGAGGATAAAAACCGCTACATCCACTGCAAGGCACCCAGACAGCAGGGCAAGCAGACCAGACAACACAAAAACGATCTGGCGAAACAATGCACCAAGCCTTGGCAACCCAGCCAACACCGCTGGGAACCACACCGCAGCGGCTACCATTGCAGTGCCTGCAGGACCCGAATGCACCAAGGCTTGACCACGCCAGTTCTTGAGGCCAGGCTCAAGGAGACATGCGCGCAGCTGCAGGTTGACACCACCAGCCAAGAGCCAGGCCCTGAGGCAGCCCCGCTCACCAAAAAGCCTACCAGAGCCCAGAAAACGAAGGGGTACCTCAATTGCACTAAATGTGGCACCAGCATACACAAAAGGATCAATGAAGCGGCGTTCCAAGAGTATGTCAGCAGCCAATGCCTGGATTGTGCCTTTCCAGGTGAGCACGGTGGGCATCCCTATATGGCAAAAAGGAGCCAAGATCCACTGCACCTTGTGTGGTCTCCAGCTACACTTGGATAGCCAACGCCGGGTGATCAGCACCGCAGCCCTCATCAAGGAATGCAAGGGAGCTGGACTCAAAGTCACCGCTATTTCCAGCAGCCCACCCAAGAGGGAACATCTCAACAGAGCACCCCTGCAGATGCCACAAATGCTTGCAGGTCAGCAGGGACGATCCCGAATCCAACTCCCCGCAGGCTGCACTTTCCAACTGAGCTCAACGCTCATGAAGGCCGCCAGAAGCACCCCCCTGCACCGGCCATGACACCCAGCCCAAAGGCAAGAGCAAAGTCCGAGACCGCTCAAGCAGCAGATCGGCCACCAAGGGAGACACGAACCAGGCACCCTACCTCAGAGGACAGCCTGGAAACCGCCGAAGAGGAAGCGCCGGAGCTCGATGAGGAGTTTGCGGTGGACTTCTTCTAAGACGACTGCCATGCGCTGTGCGGCTGTGCGGCTGGGCGGCCATGCCAACACGGCATCGAGACTGCTGAGAAGAAAAACCCCTCTAGAAAAAACATAAGAACATACATACATACATACATACATACATGCACACACACACACATCTATATATATATATATACACATACGGCATACAGTCTTATGGCCATATCTCAGTTTGACATGTTTTATGCTTCGTGTTCTCTTCTCGAACAAAAGGCCTTACTTTTGGCAGCCAATGTCTACAAGTCAGTGGGCGAGCTCGTGGAGGTGGCGACTTGAGGGCACTGCATCAGGGTGGAAGAGAAGGACCAATATACAAACAGTATAGTATTTCAATTGAACCGTGCCACAGACTTTGTTCTTTAAATGTGGGGGCCAAGCCTTTGCGTGAGCAAGGGCGCAGATGAGCGGAACCAGAAGCGCACTGTTGATCCTCCACCACCAGTGGGCCTTGAAGAGGCTGAGAAGTGGCTGCTCGAGGCGCAAGATATTTTCGAACAACTAGGTGAGAGGCGCTTGCCAGTGCCTCAAAAATACAAAGACTGCCGCAAGAAGACAGATTTGATTGAATGTAATTACACTAGAGTTGTGCATGCTTTCGGTCGCTGGTGACGAAGGGTTGGTCCAACCCAAGCTACAATTGCTCCCAGCCAGTGTTGCGCTGAGGCTGGCGCAGGTCTTGCATAGCATGGCCAAGGTTCACATCGCCAAAAACGAGCCTGCTGAGGCCGACTTCATGGGACAGAGACAAGCATGGGCATGGACATGCATGGAGTCTTCAGGGATTGATTGCTGTAGAATAGATACGGCGCAACAAGCAAGAGACCTAACTACTAAAGCACAGTGGCCAGATGGCAGACGGCGTTTGTTTGAGAGCATATATAATTGTTTAGTCGCATGCATGTTTCGGATTGGCAGGCTAGGTGCATGAGGCATTCTCTAAAACATTGCAAACGTTTTATCTGCACCGTCACTGTCTAGTGCATTTATGTATGAGGTGGCTCCCTTGATTTTTGACCGAAGCAATTCGTTTACAAATTGCCCGCCTAACAATGCGACGAAACGAGGCGAGTGTGCAAACTTTTGCAGAGATGGTCGCACCCAACCACCCGTCTCTTCAAATCCAGTTAATGCTCGCACGATTTTGATCAAAGAGCGGGTATTGTTGTACTCACCTCACCTCATGTAGGCCCATCAACCCCATTGACCAATTAAACTGATAATACTTTGCTTAAACAATACTAGTTGCAGCCTTTTGGGGCATCGAAAGTGCTCTTGCCAGGCTGTTCGGCTTGCTTATGAAGCTCACGCTCTTTGCAAGAGAGCGCGGGACAAGCCAGCAGAGGTCACTTGTCAGACAAGATTTCCACAGCCTTTTGATGCGTCGGTGGTGAGATGCCCAGAAGCGGTTGTGGAGTGAGGCAGGCACCTTGCTTTTCACGGTGGAAGCTCATCTCTCCCTGATCGCGCAGTTGGCCGGGGGCTTCACTCAGCTCACTACAATGGTATCCATGGCAACCCTTTGTTACAGCAGAGAAACTGCGAGAGACACTAACCCCATATCTTTCACCAATAATTAGGATGAGATCACGCTAAACTGAGTAGATACTCAGGTAGAAGGTGGCAGGCCGGGCTGGGTTGGGACTTGGCTGACAATAGCAGTGACCTCAAAAGAAAAGAGCTTGGGCAGGATGCGGGGCAGCCGAGAGCTGGAAGAGCAGCTCTCAAAGGCCTTCCCGGCTTGGTGGTTTTAAGTTTGATTTTCCTGAGCCCTGAACCCGTTTGAACTGAGGCGGAGAAAGCTGGACTAGCAGACCTTCACTCAGAGGTTCTCCAGCTTGAGGCGTTCAGGTAACTTGAGAGTTTTACCGTTTATGGACACTGCTTTCATCAGAGTTGCCTAGGCAAAAAAGATCGCAGACAAGCTGGGCCACAAGCAGGCGTCAACTCCAAGCTTTGTAACACCTTTCAGGTAGTTAGTCGGGAAGGTTTGGCATTGGAGGATGTTCTGACTCTGACAGGCTCAAGCAATTTGCTGACCTGTTTGTGTGTTGCATGGCCGCCAGACCATCGCAGACTGCTTCTACGCATTGTCTGAGATCAACTTGGTCAGTGGAAAGTACCAAGAGGTGCATCGATTGCACCAAATTCTCGTCATTCACAAGATGGACTAGGGGGCCCCGTACATGTGATTGATGACCTTGGAGTTTGGCTGGGCAAAAGCCGTCCTGCCCTATATATAACGACCTGAGAGATTTGAGGGAAGCTTTGAGGCGCTTGACGGTGCTGATGAGGGGATCAAAATCTACCAGGATGTAGGCTCAGAGCTGAGGATGAAAATGACAAACTGTCACGCATGGCATAAACAGGAGAAAATCATTGACTATATATTATATATATACATATAGTTATATATATACACAATATTTACATATTTATATACATGCAGGATTCTGAAAAAGGTATTTAGTTATGATTCTCTCACGCACACACTCTTATGTATATACATGTGCAAAAACAACATAACTTATTCATTGAATGGATTGTGTATGTATCATAGATTCTGAAATGCATTTCGCACGAGCGCGCGGAAGCCGATTGACGCCACTTTGAGGGTACTGTAGTACAAAAACAAGCCGAGCATGATTGACACATCTCCAAGATGAGAAAGAGCGATGTCTTCTTGACACTGAGGCTATGAGCTTGGTGAGTGCACCTTCGAACAACCGGCATGTCATCCTCACACCCACAGTGCCACAGTGCTTTTCGGGACCTCTGAATGTGTGCCCCACTTTCTTTTTGGTGTACTCTGCAAGAATAGGAATGGAGGAACAAAGTGAATGCACGTGATAGCAACCTTCCTGATCTCCACCATATGAACGTTGTAGTTTTCCCAATTTAGTTTTTTTCTCCTGGGAAGGTGTCAGTAGGAACTTACTCGTGCACTTCAATATCAATAGCCAGGTGAACATGAAGGCGCAAGCACTGCTTGCCGGGAACTTTGTGATTCGGACGACTGTTGGTCGAGTCAAGCAGGTCGTGAAGTTAGAACATGAGCAACCTAAGTGGGGCCTAGAGGCACAGTCACTAACCTTTTTGTGAGGTGAGCGGCAAGAGCGATGAAGCACTCGTCGCTGCCAAGCAAGCTGTGAGCATGGCAAAGGCCAGCTATCTGATTCCCCGAAGATATCCGAAGATGAGGATGGTCTGACCGGGGAGAAACTTGTTGCAAGCTTCTGCGGCATTCATTTCCTTTCTGCAGGCCATGGATGACAAGCCATTGGAGCAGTTGGCCGGGAGGCTCAGCAAATTGTGTGCTCTCAACAAGCTGGTTACTTTATATAAATAAATAAATATATATATACATATTTAAACGGAGGTGTGTGGATGGATTGGAATCGATACTTTATGGCTGATTCTGGAATACGCATGTAGCGATGGCACGTTTCCCTGCCTGCAGCTGAGGCACAGGAGATTTTGGACAAAGTGCTTCAAGGCACATGGGCGATTTTGCACCGTTCTTTACTTTAACTTGCTGTTTTGTACTTCTGTAGTTCCTCCTGAAGGGTTGGTGTACAGATGTCGTATAAGTAAAAAGGCTCCGTTGCTCCAAGTCTCACCACCCAGATGAGCTGTCAATTGTCAGCAAACTACTGTTGTTAGGACTGGAATGTGTAAGCAGGGTGGCAGGGGAGGTAGGTTCGTATGGAGGCATGGCTGTGCATGGTTTATTTTGCAAGCATTTCCTTGGCACTCACTCCCCCCACGTGAAGCCTGTTCTTGTGGCAGCCCTTGTAGCATCCTTCGATGCTGGCTCTTCCTATCATTGAGATGCAGCAGTCCCAAAGTGTCAGATTTCAATCTTGCAAGGTCAGGCTGTTCCAGCAGCTGCGCAGCAACCTACGATGACAATGCTGCAGCTGGAAGAAGAGGAAGAGGTGGAAGAGCTGTAAGTTCCAGATATTCATGTGCCGAAATCACTTAGGTTCACCTTCACCTGTGCAGAATTGATGTGCAGCATGCGTTTGCTTTTGCTTGAATACTGTTGCTCGAGTCAGGAGACACCTGTGGCAGCAGCGTCGGGACCAAAGCGGCTGCCAAAACATGTATCAGGTAGCAATAGGAGAAAAGGACAAGTCGCAGTCAAGAACTCTGGAGCTAACTCAGCTCAGATACTCTTGGGCCGGTTGTAGGTCAGCCGGTGTTGATACGCTTCATTAACTAGGCAGCCTTTCTAGTGCACCCGTCAGTAAGATGACTCCTGTCATTCGATCAGAAGGCAGACCAGAAAGGAGAAGAAGAAGGATGGAAAGAAAAGAACAATGCGGAGCAAAAAAGAGAAAGAAGAGCAAGAACAGAAGGGCAGGAAACAGAAGGATGAGAACGAGCAGGGAAAAAGGTACGTCGTTAGTAGCGCCTGTGGGCCGTGGTTGTGTCTTCTGTCTATGCCATATCAATGCCGCCGCCTCGGCCGTCCCAGGGCATCAGAGGTGGTGGAGGAGAAGCCGAAAGGATGGGCCTCAGTAGTGACAGTAGCTGAAAAGTTTTGGCCTCCAAATCTGCCAAATGGTTTTTACGAATCCCCTTCGACCCGACCCGTTTCCCATTTCAAAGGGTCAATTTGGTAGTCCTTGTGCGTCAGAAGACTCTTCTAACTTCCTCTAACCTGTGTTGCTCAGGTTTGGAGCCTGCAATCGTGAGTGATATGCTGCACAGCATGTTGCGAGAAATGATGGGTTCTGACATGGACCTGCACTTGGATTCATAGCAGAGGTGCAAGCTGAACGAAACATTGGTCCCATCAGCTGATCAAGCGGTTGGTTCCAGAGGGTGATCATGATCTGTTTGGTTTAATAGATGTAACCTTTGTCTTTGGCTCAGGAATCTGACACGCCCCTCATGGATGCCGGAGTTGACCTGTACTCAGGGAACTGATCCAATTCACAGCTTCGGCATTGCGTTGTGCTCGTTGAGGACAGCTTGATGAGCATTGAGTTTCGAAGCCAAGTTAATTCGGCCTTCTCTGGGCAGCTTGGCGCAGAAGACGTGCTTCGATTGAAATGCTGCTGGGAGTTAAATCTTTTTGTTGGGCAGAGGCTGGGATTATCTTCGACCCTCACGTCTGCAGCTGAGAGTGGTTGCCCCCACAGCGAGGTTTGAAGCTTCGATTCTCTCTCCTTTAGGTTCGACTATCCGACAATTCGGGAGCTGACCGGGCACATCGTGGAGAAGAGCAAGAACCAGTAGTGCGCGAGCAGAGGGCGAAACGCTATCGGCAGATCGGTGATGATCGGTGCCGCCTGTAGAAGACCAGCCTCTCACATGCGCAGGAGGCTGTTTGCAGTTTAGGTCCTATACCTAGCACTCTTCCTCGCCCTTGCTGAGCGAAAGAGAAAACTGGACCTCAAGTCACAATCTTCGCTCGGAGGTCTGTGCATCAACTGCATCAAGTGACCCAATGTAGTTAGCTCACATCACACGGGAATAAGATACCAAAGACACAAACACCCACAAGCATGTGCATGATGAGAACATGCAAGGTCCTAGATTTAAAGTGCAGCTGCACGGCTGGCTTTTCCTCAAAGCCAAAATTTGATTGATCGGCTCAAGAGCAATTGAAACCGGAAAGTCGAACGCACTCTGGATACAATTGATGCCAGGCTGCAGACAAAAATCTGAAGCTCACACCACCAACTGTGCAAGACATGTATTTTCAGAGCTTGAGCTCGTTGCCCAGGAACTCGCCCTAATACCATGAGGAGCTCGTCCCAATACGCTTGGAGTGAAGAAGGCGCCCCTTTTCTGCTCTTTTGACTTGTCGAACCTTCCTCATGTCAGCGCGATTGCTACATGATGTGCGCTCGTGATTTTGCGGATGAAGAGATGTGATGTGATGGAACATGCAGGATATATATATATATATTATATATTTCTTCTACAGGCGTTTCTTTGTTCTTTATTTTTGCGGGGGTTGGAACCTATCCATGTATGTGCGTCAGGACCGCCTGTTCCCCAAGTACTTCAGTACACAGTGTACGGTATACGTTAGTACTTTAAAACTTTACAGCTCAAGCTTTCGAAGTATCATCTGATGTTGATGCTGCTACGTGTGTCGATCAGGCCAGGGCATGGCAGCCCAGCAGCCAGGAATGTTTCCTCCGCACCATCTCTCAATATTGGTGATGTTGGCGTGTCAGAGGATCAGAAAGCCATTCAAAAGGTCTGGTTGAAGTCAGGGATGGAGATATAGATGAGACCTTGGGCAAACATCACTGTCAACTATTGAATACTTGGTTCGCTTTGATGTGCACAAAGGTGACTTGCTTCCATTTTGTTTGTTAAGTGAAGATTCTTAAGGTGGCATGTGGAGTCTTCTTGTTGGAGGCTTTCTTGACTGAACAATGACTCCACAAAAATCCCACTAAAACACCATGAAACCCTGGAAGAATAATTGAACACACTTATATAGGTTCAGTTTTTGACACCAGCCCATTTTTGGGATTTGGCCGGGGTTTGATTGAGGTTTGAGTGGGGTGAGGTTGGTTTCAATTGGATGTTAATTTGGGGTCCCAGCCCATTTTTGGGATTTGGTTAGGTTTGTTTGGTGTTTTGGTGGGTTTAGTGTGGGAAATCATAAGGCCCATAGGTAACCCACAAAAAAGACCAATCAAACTCCAAGATTCACCTCAAATTACCCAAGGCAAACCCACACCACTACCACCCAAAACCTTGGGTACAGTCTTGCGCCTTCTAATTTTGCGACCCCCCAAAAAACCAGAGCGCTGAACATTTTTCCGGGGATTTTGCCAGCTTTCTCAGGGATCTTGAGTGAATGATTGGGAACCATTTGGGTTTCCATGGGCACTGTCTTGGGAAACGCAAGAAGCCAGCCAACACTTCAGTTGGCGATTCAGGTACCATCAAGGAAGTGCTGCATTTGGAACTGGCACGTTCCAAAACTTGATGGAGAACTCAAGGACGCTAGCCTGCACTGTAGTGCACATAGTTGAATGATGTTCAATCAGCTGGATTGAACATGGTCTTGATCCAAGACCGACTACAACGCTTGCAGTGTACTTACTGGAAGGCTTAATTATATTACATTTAGGTTGGAGGCCACCGCTATTAGGTTGGAGGCCATTGCTTTTAGGTTGGAGGCCATCGCCATTAGATTAAGTATATTACCTGTTTCCATGAGCCAAGGCCACCGTATGAGTCCTGGAAAGCTTCGGCCCCAAGCCCTGGTAGCCTGCAATGGCCCGTGACATGACTCAACGGTGCACCAAACGCATAGTGAAAGGCGAGAGGATGATGCCTATCATTGTATTACAAAGAACGCTACTAGGGGCTTCTGGCCCTACTGCTAGGACCTGCTAGGAGCAAGGACGCTACTAGCAGCAAAGGGCATCGCTGCTAGAAACAAATGCAACATTGATGATGACTATGGACCTTTCTAGCAGTGGCTCAGCCCTGCAAAGCTCGTGGGCTCAGGCATGCTACAAAGATCGCGACGATGACGATGGGACTACAGATTATACAGCCTCTTGATTTTGCTATTCTTGCTTTCATTCGAAGGCTTTGCTTGCTAGTTGTTAGCAGTGCAACTCCCATGGGAGAAGCCGAGTGTGTTGGCCAGTGTTTGCGCTCTGCACTGCTCGATTGTTTCGCTGAAATTCATTCTGGATTCTCAGACAACGCAGAAGAGCAGTGCTGGAAGCAGCTGCGGCGACGAAGATTGGAACAGCCGCTTGACTAGAAGCATTCAGACAAAATCGGTGGATTGAACAACGGCAGCTAGAAGCGATACAACAGGACTACATTTCGGAGGTTTGTCTGTGTCTTGCATGGTGGTGGGGCTGACTCGCGCACAAATGCACTTTCTTCTACGCAGCAGGGCATTTGGTCGGCCAGCTGGTGCTACTAGACAGATGGTATGATTTCTACTCGCACCTGAAAGGAAGCACCCTCCTAGGCTCGAGCCAACAAAGATCCACAAAGGAATAATACTAATTATATGATGGGCTGGGTTGATTGAAATTTCTCATGTTTTCTCGAAGATGACTGGGGGCAAAGGAACAAGTGGCAGCCAGATTGCCATCATAAGTTTCGTATATACGATGCTTGTCGTCACGTGAGGCACAGTGCGCTCCAACTTGGCGGGTGAGTTTATCCCAGGCACAACTTCCTGTAGCGGAAGCCTTTGTCCAAACCACCGCCGTATACCGCCATGGATGCTCCGGTCTGTGACAGTTCTCAAACTTGTGCTGTGGTGTTGGAGGAGCTTCTATATTATGAATTATGAAGTAGTAGAGCATATTTGTGCCTGGGTGTTGTTTTGATACCGGATCTATTCCCACAGGAGGGGTTCTGCTTGGCACAAGTGATCCGCACTTTGAATGACGATTGCACTATACAGTAGTTGAGAACCAGCTGAATTGGAGTCTTGTCTTCAGTTGCTTGCTTTGGGTTGCATGACCTAGTCTTTGGGGAGTGGACAACTTTTTAACTCCAAAATCGCTTGATTGGAGGCGATCCCTTCCAGTTCAACGCGGGGGCCCTCAGCAATTGCATTAGAAGGTCAGTTGCGCGATTGCACGCCAATGAACAGCTGTAGAAACGACTGCCCAAAGTGCAGGGAGGAATGGCTCCTTGGTCGGGGAATGCTTTGATTACTCTAAGGACGCGGAGAAGAGTGGTGGCCTTGTTGCAGCTTGCCAGCCTTGTCATATACAGAATTCGACCCCACATGTACCCGTAAGACACTATAAGAATGAACTGGCATGTTCAACGAGACACTCTATTCCCATGAAAAAGTCTCCGTTGGACTACGACGGTTCTGGTGGATAGCAATGTGAACCACACGCGTCTCAACCGAAAGTCATCCCAGCCTGAGGACCTCGATCCGGAGGTCGGCCGTTTTCGAGGCCAAGAGCTTCATGGCCGCAATCCTGACAAATCCATGGCCGTTCGATGCTTTCTGTATCCAGGGTGCTCAGGGTACTTGTTGCAACTTGTTGCACATGCACAGATTGTAGAAGTGGTTGCTGAGTGCAGTCTGCGGCGTGTTGCGGGGTGTCTTTCAGAGCATGCAGTATTTTCCTTCAAATGTTATTCTAAGGTTCTAAGAAGCTAAGATGTAGTCACACACACACATGCACAAACCAGGCCATTGCCCGAGGCAGTGCGCACAATACACATCCTGTTTCGTGCGTGCACACTCCTCACACACACACACACATGCACGCGCTTGCATGCGCACGCAGTGGCGTAAATTTTTTTGGCACACACACACACACAACGTATTCGTACTTCTTTTGCATTTCGTTTTTCGTTTAGACTGAGACAAGATAAGATTAAGACGTGTGGGGACCTGATCATCTCCTAGATTTGCTAAGGATCTTGGCCATGTTGGCCGATGGACCACTGTCCAAAGGATCTTCCGTCAGGGAACCTCCAGGCTTGCTTGTCATACCGGTGCTAGACTCGTTAAACGCACATGCCGCACATGTATTCAACAGGCTTCGCTTGCAGGATTGCTGTTGGTAGCCATAAGCCGCAACAATGCGAGAGTTGTGACTTTCATGTCCAGTCACTAGCACTTTTGAAATCACTGCCCACCTGCTTGTTCCCCAGGGTTGCGTCAAACACGCGGGCCACGTAGCGGCGCAGAACTTTTGTCCACGGCTGTTCCGTCGAAAGCTCAGAAAAAGTGGAACCTTGTGCAGCACAACACAGCTCCACCCCTTTTCATGCAGTTTCTTGCTTAGGGCCACTTTGTTGGACTGACAAAGTCCATTACTTTTACCTTGACATTGGTAGTCCGCTTGACAACCAATGTCCCTGCTGTCATCACTCTTCAAGTTTTTCCTTTAGTTTGGGGTGGGTTTGGTGTTTGCCAGCAGACTTTGTCTTCCAGCCCTCCACACTCAGAGTGTGGAGTCTTGTGCTCATTCTTCAGTTGTTGCAAGATACTATCAGACTATCACGTGGCCTGTGTAGCATTTCCATGACTGCAGTACTCTTTGTTGCAGCTGAGTAGAGCACAAAGCCGTGTGTTGGAAGCGTTTTGTGTCTTGCAAGAGTCACGGGTTTGCTCCCATCTCTATCAATCCTCAGGTCGCAAACTTTCTCCCAGCCATGGATCCCTCTTGGCACGGCTTTTGGTCAAGGCGAGAGAAAGCTTTCGGAACTGCTGCTTTGGATGCCAGCTAGATTTATATAAGAAGTGAAGAGAATGGACAGCACGCAAGTAAGAATGTGGAGTGTTGCAGAATGCCTTGGCCATCAACTTGTTGGGTCCAAGACAACGGTCCCAAGACACAAACAAAGTGTCATGCTATAGAGTGGAGTAACTAGCCAATACTGTCCTGCATGCCAGGAAACCGGACCTCGCATCCCAACGGATTCGCATTGTGAGGTTTTGACAGCTTAGAGGGCACAGGAGCTCTCGTCGATTGCAGGGTTTTTGTCCACCACTGGCCCCAGCCCGGATCCCGGGCCAACCCAAGCCACATGCACCAACCCTCCCTGATATTTGGCTAGAGCTCCAGCCCTGGTGTGGTCCACTCAATTTCTCCTGGCGATTTATAGAAATTTATAATTCATGTTATCATGTTTCTCACTAATGAATTACTTTGATCCAGGCGTACTCACAGAACCCGACTACCAGGTCACTAGCGACCTCTGCCAAGTGCGATCACGCCGTGTTGTTTCACAGTCGTGCGCAGAATGCACGCAGCCCGCTGTACACCGTCGCTGGCTAAAGCTGCAACCCAGTTTTGAATTGCGTATTTGGAGTGTGGATTCACCTAAAGTTGTGGCAGGAGCCGGCGGGGGTGGGCAGTCGTGGATTGAATAGTGTCATATCGTGGGCTCTGATTGCCGGACAGTCCAGGTCAGGTGTGCACCTTGCCAGCCCCGTTTCGTGTTTCTTCCCGGTGGAATCCTAGATGCTGGTTGCCGTGATGGCTCCAGCACGGAGTGATTCTAACTATAAATTTTATTAAAAAATATATATATATACATATAATTATACCTATTTTAAGCAGGTGGTGAAGTTTGTTGCTTTTGTTGTGAATAGTGCTGGTAGTTGTGTGCACGTCATTCTGATCGCCGGACAGCATTGACAGCATGTGCAAGTGGTCACCCCACATTCTGCGACATGCGAGAAAAGTCGTTAGCGGTGTTGCATTACGAGCCAGTCCTGGAAGGGATTTAAAAGGTGTGTCAGGCCTTGCGTGCGTGCCATGTTTCTTGGTTTTCATTTGAGCGTCAAGGCTCTAAAGTCAAACACTTGGCCATGGCGCCGATACCACCCTTTGTGGCACGTGTCACCGCCAATCCGCGTGGCGTGGAGATCCACACCACCCACGGCCACGAGCTGCTGACCGTGTCCTCTCGGATTCCGAAGGCTTCGGGTGTGAAGGTCCTGGTCATGCCAGGAGCCCCTAGTAGCTTATTGTTACTAGTAGTAAGAATGCTCCTAGTAGCGATGCCACGAGCCCCTAGTAGCGTCCTTGCTCCTAGTAGTAAGGCCAAGAGCCCCTAGTAGCGTCCTTGGGTCACGCTCGTTAACATACCTTTCCACTTTCCACCCTTTTTTTGTTTGCGTGTCAGACTTTGTCGGAGGCACCGAAGTGGTCTTTCCCGGGCAAGCGCACGGGTGAGCATGAAAGCGGAACTCAGTCATCGCCTCAGTCGACCGAAATATACCAAAATGTGAAATTGCATTTGTCACTTGCGCCTCTCCTGATGCATCGCCCCACATACATACCGGGATTGCAAGGGTTGGGCACTACTCCGGCGATGACCCTCACCGCCTCTTGGCTTCTTTCGTCGGTGGCATGGTCTGGAGCCGGGGGCAAGACTACCTGAGGTGATATCAATGGCAGATACAAGCGCCACTTGGTGTAACAATAGGGTCAGATCAATAGTTCTGTTTTGCTGTTGCAGACATGGAGCCCCATGGTAGAAAACATGATTGGTGCAGGTGACCCTGCTTGGAGCATGAGAGAATCGAAGGAAGGCAGAGGCTCATCGCTTCCTCCAGGTGCGAGCCACCCTGCCAGTCCGTCGCAGCTTGTGTGGCAAAGTCAGTGACGCAACACGCAGGATCCATCAGATTTGAGATTTCAAGACAAACACCCCGCGGCCTGCAGGGCCGGGTCGATACAACAACCGTGACGGAGTGCAGGGCACCAAGATTTGGAGCCTCTCTCCTGATGCTCTCAGCACTTAGGACAATCAAGTCAATCAGTGAAAGAAATACAACCACATATCCAACACCTGTGACGGTGATACAGCCTCAATGCAATCGACGGATGCTGACAGAAGTTTCAAGCGGAAAGAGGCTAGAATTTTGAGAACGTGTTCACAGGAGAAGTCCGGCAAGCCAAGGTTGCGCAACTCTGCACCATCTTGGAGCTTTGGGTCAACCTCAAAGTCAGCCCGGGCACCCTGCTAACCTGGCCAGCCTGCACAAGTCTGGAAGAGAGAGAGAGAGAGAGAGAGCGCCTGAGGCCCTGGCTTTCAACTGGTTGAAGTTTGTCGAATTGAAGACTTTACTGCACGCCGATAGTAGGAGAGAAAGAGGAGAGCTAGTGATGACATGAGATGAGAACTGAACACCAAATGCATCTCCAACCTGCAGCGGTGAGCAGTTCAAGCCGGCAATGGGGGGCCCTGGACGACCAGCCGGGCCATTGAGGTGCAGCTCTTGGAGCAATTTTTGTGAATCAATCGAGAGGTATATAGGTGAAGATGCCCAGGCGAGTTTCAAGTTTTCAACTGACCTGGCATTCTTGGGCTCAAGCGCTGCCGTTTTGGCTTAGAGGTGCAGCCATTGTGTCGCGGAGCTCAGCAGCGTGGGCGCCATGGGAGATCGAAGCCGCTCTCGATCTCGCGACGGGCCGAAAGATGTGGCCTCGGCAGCCAAAGCAGGCAACAGCGAACAGGAGATCGTTGCAGTAGCCATCAAGCAGTTGCCCGGGGACATTCGGGAACGGCTTGAGAAGCTTTTTGAGGAAGGGTTGCTGAAGGAAGGTGACCTAGATCTTCGTGCCATTACCGTTTTTGCATCCCTCAATGAAAACTTGCAGTCCCGGGTGCTGAACCACATGGAGACTGAGAGGATCTATGTGGCCAACGCTCGCTCCAAGAGTGGCTTTCTCATTGCGACATGTGACAAAGCAAAGACTGGTTGCTTGGATGCCCGTGGTCTGGGAGCCATTGACCCTTGGCGCACCGCACTGGTGGCCATGGCCACTCCAAAGCAGAAGTCTGTCGAGCTGAAAACGGAGCAGGACTGGCTGGATGAAAAAGGTGACTCACCGATCAAGATCAATGTGGATGTATCAGTGGTAGAGAGTGAACTAGGGATGAGCAATGTCACAGTGGAGTTGCCCCTTACGGAGACTTGTGCTGCAGTCAAGGCAAAACTGGTAGCGATGGGTGTCCGCTCCATCCCTGCCAACCGAATGAAGTTGCACACTGACCCAGTTGGATATCTCAAGGAGCGGTTCACTTTTGCTTTTTACAACCTTGGTGGTGGTGTGACTTTGACTCTCTCCCAGCGCAAGCGCGCAGGGAGCAAGTTTCGCCGCGACCACACGGTGATGCCAAAGCGGCCAAAGGCTCCGCCTGCAGAGAAGAAACCGGAGACCACCGGTTCAACTGCGCAGAGCCAGCCATCTATGGGCCAACCAGCTCCAGCAGAAGCCAAGCCAGCAATGCCGGGAATGGCACTGCCCGAGCTGCCAAAGCTGCCAAGTTTGCCAGGGATGCCAACGCTGGGTGGTGGAGCACCGAAAATGCCAATGCCAGCAATGCCGGGCACAATGCCGGGACTGCCAGGAATGCCAGCCGGCTTACCTCCCTTGCCAACCATGCCAGGATTGGCTCCCGGAAAAGCTCCTGGCCTGCCTGGAATGCCGACGATGCCAGGTGCTGGTCCTGGAGGCTATCCCAAGATGGGCATGCCGGGTATGCCTGGCATGGCGCCTCCTATGGGTATGCCTGGCATGGGTGTGCCAATGGTGGGCGCAGCAGCCAAGGGCGGCATGCCAATGCTGGGTGGCGCAACCCCCAAGGGTGTATGAGAAGCTACCGCTTTGTGCTACTATCCCGCCCTGACGCTACTGAAATGCAAAGCTGTTGTAGAAAGCATAGAACTATACGGCATTAAGACATCAAAAGGACAACCGCCTGGAAGAAGATAGGGCAAAACGCCGCAACGTGCCGGCACTTGAGCTTTTGCTTCCTTCCATGAACCACTGCAGCATGATTGTTGTTCGGGGTTTCTCTCCGAAGGATATTTGGTCTTGCCTGCAGCTTGCAGTCTTTCCTGATCATGTGTGTGAGGCCTTCGCATGCAACCCTTCCGTTTTCACGTCGCACCAGAGCTGCTTGACAGCAAGAAGACGCTGTGTATGCTTTGTTTGCATTGACACTGGGCTTGAGAAACCTATAATCCGGTAGGCATGTTTGGAAGTGACTTCTTTTGTCACTCCTGGAGGAAAGATGATGAGGACGAGGCCACCGCTTGCTGCGACTTTGGAAAGACAATCACGGGAGAGCATGGGAGAACTTGAGAAGGCATGAGAAGAAGCTACTAGTAACTAGTAACAAAGGGCATCGCTACTAGGAGCAAGGACACTACTCGTAGCTCCTGGCATTACTACTGGTAACAAGAAGCTACTAGTAGCATTTGTGCGGATATCGTTGGAGCAGGCCGCCCCTAGCATTTTGGGCGCCACTCGCGGTGTAGTTAGTGCAAAACGGCAAAACCCAACGTCTATGGCTTCTCTTTGGCTTGGTGCCGCCCCATCCTCTTTCATGAAGATAAACATTCATCCAGCTTGAGATGGCAGGGGCTTTGGAGCAAAAGGGTTTTACAGTATTTTTCACTGAACTAGCGCTGACAGGAGCGTGAGACTCCGATCACTGCAGAGGAGGCAGCCAAGATTATCCAAAACCACTGGAGAAAATCTGGCACTTCACGTGCCGTGGCCTTGAAGCCAAGAGGTGAAAGAAGATGACATTGACTTTTCTTCACACTTAACGGTGCATGACATCGTGTGCGGTTTATTAAACTTCCATTGCTTGGAACAAGCTGTGGGATGTTCTGGTCAGAGACGATCCGAAAGGTTTTTGGCGCAAGAATGAGAGACTTTAAAAGACGAACAGATCCGCACAAACACAAGGAAAGTCATGGCAAAGCTGTAGGACCTTAGGAATAACTTCAATTCTTGCATGACAATGCAGTCATTTCCTCTTAGATGATGTTTCAAATCTCCCAAGGAGCTATTAAGCGAAGCCTGTCGACCCAGAAGTCGTGCAGAATTCCCCCGATTGATCCGGACAGGCCAGGCGGCGCAGATTTTCGTTCGTACCGTCGTACCCGTCGTCGGAGCCCCTAGTAGCGTCCTTGCTCCGTTCGTAGCGATGCCAGGAGCCCCTAATAGCTTCTTTTTCCTAGCAGTACAGCCAGGAGCCCCTAGTCCTTGTACCCTTGCTTTGTTGAAAAGGCCCTTCTACACTCACACACTTGGTGTGGGACTCAGCTGGAACGTCGTGCCCATCCCAAATCCTCAGCACACCATGGGCTTCTGATTTGTTTCCTTAGGCCTTACTTTCGTCTCACATGCTCAGAAGAGGATGGAGGAGGAAACAAGGCCTCAAGCACAGACGCTTGGACTCTGCATTGGCTCGTGATGTTGGTGCAGCTGCTGGTGCGATTTGTATAGTTGGGAATGCACCACAACCTGCGCCTGTAGGAAGATTTTTCTTCTACTCAGTGAGCCTAACAGCTCTTCAGCAGCTCAGTTAGTGTCGCCAGCTTAGTTTTGGCATTCTGACAGCTTAGAAATAGTGTGTCAGCTCAGCACCACAGAACAGTGGGACACGAGTTTAGCCAGTTTATCATGTTCACCAAGGTCACTTGTGATTATGACCTTCACAATTATTTCCATTTGTGGCTTTGTTCTGGAAACAGATCGGGAGCTATACGAGATGCAGCTCGGCTCCGCATTTGTTCGGGGTGGGCGGTGAGAGGTGGCGGTGACCCTTCTAACTTATAATCATTTCACTTGAGTTTGACTCCAGGGAAGGAGAAGAATCAGGGGACGAAGGAGGGTTGGTGACGTGGCCGCTGAGGCTACGCGGACTCAACTCGTTGTGAATCAGGGCATCCGGCCAAATTGGGGAGACTGTCCTAAATTTGAGGCCAATGTTGCACTCTCTATATACCCAAGCGAGTCCAGTACTCACCAGGGTGCATGTCCCACCATCTCCGTTCAGCATCGGCCAGCTCTTGGACTTGTTCACTAAGGAGCCCAGATTTTTGGCTTGCCCTGGAGGTAGTGTGCACTGTGGCGCCCTGCTTGCGTGTACAATGCGAGTCGCACTCCTTTTTTTTGCTCTCTTTCACTTGGGTACTGGAGTCCAGGAATAGTTTTGCACGAAGGGAGTGAGTGGCTTGAGAAGCTCCAAGTGCGTTGAGTCACCAACCGGGCTTGCAACAACCTGAGGTATTTACAGATGCTTGATCCGCAATGAGGAGTTTGATCCTGCTTTACAATACTTTGCGATGCATGATTCTGGCGGGTACACGCATATTTTATTTTACTATTTGTTTGCATTTGCTTGCCTTAAGAAGTGGGAGAGCCACCTCCAAACCATCCAAGGCTGAGTACCTGACCCTTTCGTTGACATGTCGTGCCGCGGGTATTTCTTTAGTTCGGATCTTAGCTCGAACTGTGCATTCTCCAGTTACTTTGCACTTGCAATCATGCAAAATACAACAGTGCATCACAGCGCTTGACAGGATGATAGGCTGATATGTTTCAAGTGAGCCATGCTGCTTCATTCAGCACCGCTTGTGCCCCAAAGCATAGACAGACAGCTTTTCTTTGCATTCAAAGGTTAACTTCTTTCTGGCACCCAGAAGCATAGCCGAGCTTGTGGCCTTACTTCCCTTTTATGTGTGGAGCTCAAAAGAAGGCTGAAGCCTTTGCTATACATACACGCTGTCAATAGATTTGGTGTGGCTCCATCGAAGCCAGCTAGACTATTCGAGTTTGTTCAAATCGCATGGGAAGAAAGAAAAACACACTGACACGCTATATATGTGTATATATATATACACATACACACAATATACGTACATCCACATCCACTGTATATGCCACTGTGCATGCAAAAGTCCATGCCCAACTAGAGACCCAGGAAGGACTTACATACTTTGCTTTTACCGTCAGCTGTCGAGTGCGCTGCTTACACTGTTTCCTGAAGGTCGAAGTCATTCTACGCTCTGTCGGTTTTACCGAAACTGCAGTACTGAAAGCTTTCAGGGCCCGAACTCCCAGACATCGGCCGCTGTCAAGAAATGGTATCATTGCAGACCTGTTCACAAATCCAACACATGACTTCCAGTTTGAACAAATCATGTGAGAATTGTGGCCCGACATAGTGTCGCTGCTGAGGTGGTTCGGCTGATTCGAGTGCTGAGAGTTTTCAAGCTAGGCATACGGGTCCGCACTCTTTAGTTTCAACGTGTTTCGATGCAGTATGCTTGGGCAAGATGTGGCTAGTGAATGCTAATCATGTTTGTATGTAGCATACATGTGGCTCCATGCGCTTGACAAGATAATTGATCGATACAACATGGAGAGAGTATTTTGGCGATAGCTGTATGTTGGTGGCTTGGAGGTCGATATGCGGCTGGCCTGCAAATAATGTGGAAGGCCTGCCGATTCAGATCGTTCAATCTCAAGCTAAGCGGCCCAATCCAAAGTGTGCAGAAATTCCGGCCCGCTCCAGGCTCCACCTTGGTTTTAGAATGTTTTAGAGAAGTCTGCCAGGCGGTGGTTGATTCTAGGCAAGCTATATCGGTGCTTCTTTTCCTCCTCTGAGCCCCGCCTGCATTTTTGGAGTGTGGGGCCGTGTGGGGGCTGCTTGTTTCATGCTTCCCTTACAAGCTGCTGCATGCAGCTGTCAGTCCCACACTCCGAGGTACTGGAGTGGTGTTGTTCTCAAGTACCCTCTATTTTTTGGAGAGGTGGGCAGTACGTGGCAGTGGGCCGGCAGTGCTCAACAGTGGGCCAAACGGAGACTGTGGTGTCGTGACACTGTGGTGTCGTGACACTGTGGTGTCGTGACACTGTGGTGACTTGTGTTTGAGTACATTCAATCTCAATTTCCCACAAGTGAGTGCTGGGCACTTCAATCTTGCTGCACTATTTCACATACGCAGTGCTCATGGAGGCTCAGCTGTCCTCTGCGCGAGCAGATGACCGACAATGAGCTGGAAACTTATCTCAGAGCCCCTTGGCCGGCGGGTTGTTTTGGTTTGTGGAGGTGAAAAGGGCAGCCGTGCAAAAGACTGACTTTGTGAGGCCTGATTTGCTTGGATGCCTTTGGCGCACTAATGTTTATGTTTATATTTACGCGAATGAGTATGTATATATATAAATTACACGGTCCGTTTATGCATTCAGGCGCATGACGTGTATGCATCGCTGTGCGGCAATGCTGTATGTACACATGCGGACAATTGATTCAGCAGGGTAAACTGAATAAAGTCTTTGTTCGTCCTTTGACTGCTGTTGAGATGGATCGTGATGTCATATGATCTTTGCTTGCAAACTCTAATGCGCCCAGGAATGCTCTGATATTTTCAACCGCGGAGTCTCTCCGGCTCATGGACTTTGCTGCACCGAGGACGCATGTGTTCGGCCGAAGTTGAGACAACGTGTAGCTGATTGAGTTCATTATGTTCACTGCATTCAGCTCATGCCCACGCTATCCAAGATGATGTGGACATATGCTTGATGAATTCAATGACTTGTCCGACCAGTAGCAGATGTTGCTAGAGTTTCGCACTGTCTTGTAGGACAACTCACCGGTGGACTTTCCAAGTATTATCGCTGCCTGTTGGTGGGCAGTCGTGACTTTGACCTCACTAGGCCGGATCATTTTGAGTCAAAGTGTTTTTGTTTCGCATGCTGATCTTTCTCATGCCGCTGGTACTAGTGGAACTCTCTGAGGTAGCCTGCGTTTGCTTGGAGTGCCGTAGGTTACAAACAGTTTTGGCTCTGTGACTGGAAAGAGTGGACCTTTGCCTTTGCCTCAATCCTTGGTCACCATGCGGTGCTCGTGTGTGGGTTGTGCAGGATATGGAGACCTGTACCCGAAGACGGTGCAGGGCAAGTGCGTAGGAGAACCGACATGTTTGGTGAATGTGCTTGAGAAGTCGCGGTTGCTGTCTCAAGCGCTGTGGTCAGCTGGGCGGCCCTGTAGGAATGTTGGCTATGATCGCTGGCTTGCTGCTAATAGCGCTGCCGATCGCTATTATAAGCCAAAAATTTCAGGACCCTTTGAATTTTGGCTTTGCATTTTTCTTCAAGTGGTATTCAAACCAACGATTTTGATGACCAGGATATATATGAGGTCAATGACAAGGAGGAAGCAAAATATCGAGCTGCTCAAAGGCAGGATTATATGGAATGGGCCGGTAGGTTCGCACGCATTTTGAAGCTCGAGTCCGGACCACGCCTGGGAAGCCATACCCCGTCAGGATGAAAGGTGCCCCACATGAAACCTGGACTTTGATACCAGGGTCTGATGTGGCTTGGTTGCAGCAGGTGGCATGGCCTTGGGCCTTGGGCCTTGGGCCATATTCAATCGAATTTCCTTGTAGTTGAGATTGCTTAGATCCTTCCCTGCACCTTGACATCCTTCTCCCGCTCTTTCATGTAATTGTGCGAGGTCATGCGGAGGCTCAAGGGTCTCTCCATAAAGGACCCGTTGCTGGTTGGACCTAGCGAGGCAGAGCTAAAAGGTTCCAGCATTAGTTCCACCCTGATCTGACGCCTGCAGGATGCCGAAGCCCGGGATGCCATCCAGAGCATGATTAGATCCCTGGAGGACCGAAACCCTCATTGGAGGGCAAAATGTCGCACCTATTTGGGCCGACCTTTATTCCCCGGGTGGTGGTGTGTTTGTAAGAGTAGGTTAGTAAGCCATAACTATATACCTATATAGTAGCTTAACGTAGCTACCTAGTATCTTGGACGCAGAAGGGCTCAGGCTTCTTCAACGAAGCTCCTGCCCTGAGGGTGGGGGGAAGCTTCCTTGAAGGAGCCTGAGCCTTAATGATTTGGTTCAGTTTTACTTAGAAATTTCACAGGTGGTCAACTTGCTGGACCAACTTTGAACACCTTTTGCCACCAACCTGGTTGCAGCAGGATATCTGGGAACTTCGAGAGGCACTAGGGCGGGAACGCAAGTATGCATCCGCCCAGAAGCTTGTTGGCACAAACGTTTGAAATGGATCTCTTGAGTCTCTTGAGTTTGAAGGCTGATGACCATTATGCACATGGGATCGTATGGGTCATTTCGCTGCACTCTGAGGACCACGCGCTTCCAGAAGGGTTTTGACAAGTGCCCTGGGCCAGATTGGGCGTGGACGGTTGAGCAAATGCCCTCACCCTCCCCAGAAACAACACTGCAGACCAGACCGGTCCTACATCTTCGTTTGTATCTTTTGGCCAAAACGACAAGTTTTCGCAGAGATCCTGCAATTTGTACAACCCCCAAGAACAATAGGCTCAGACGCTTGTCCGAGATGATTCATGTTCCTTGATGATTAGCCCCTTAAAGTTTTCACCGCGGCTGTTGACATGAGGTTCGTGTGAGAAAGCCTTTATATAGACAGACACAGCTGGAAGAGCACACGGCTAGATTCCGAACACAACGTTTCGAGTTTCCAAAGCCCATATTCCCAGTTTCCAAGCCTTCCACTTTCCAAATCCCACGTGTCCGGTGTCTGAATCCAACGTTTTATCATGTTCTATCGAGCTTAATTGCCGACTGTACCATCAACCCCGTCATGTTTTTGGGCGCTGTGAGGTTGCTGCTTGGCATGCTGTCAGAAAACTCGCAGCTCGGATGCATTTGAGCTATGTGCTTGATGTGCTTGTTGAGCAGCAGCAAGAGGGCATGTGGAATGGCATTTTTGGATATTGTTGGTGCATGGCGTGTATATAGATCCTACAACAACCACCAGCCACATTGCAGGAGCAATGAAACAGGTCTTGTGCAGTCGTACCAGCTAAGGTAGGCACAGGTGCGGACTGTGGCTTAGCTGGATTAGCAGCCACTGATGCATAACCCGACATTTCCACCGGATGTTTGATTCACTTCACTTCTGGTGACCACAGCTGGCGCTTGCCCTGGCCAGGTTCGATTGACCTTGCATGGGTCATACAGAGCCCTCGGCACCCCAGCAGGAAGGGCTCGATCACACTTTCCCTTGCATGACGTCAACATGGCAATTGAGAAATATTGATTTGTCACCGGTCTTTGGATTAGAAGCGCCCCTCCTGCTGGTTCTTTCGGTAGCTGAACAGAATCGGGTGAAAATAGATGGAATCAGTACAATAGCTTTCGGAAAATCTGCAGCTCAAGAGGAGCTGAGTAGGAGATGGATCTAGTTCAAACTAGGCCAGGTTTCACAGGTCTGCACGGGACTCAATATCAAGTTCGGGGCATAGTCATGCTCGCTTGCACTTGTAGTTAGAGATGTTGGTTTCTCTTCTGCGGTTTTTATGATCTGCATGCTGCATGCCCCTAGCTTGGAGACCTAGCAGACCCTCAAAATATTTTCGACCAGCACAGATGTTTTTTTGTGAGTGTCACACGTTGCTCGGGCAACTGTGGCGTTTCACTGCAGGCAGGCTTGGCATGAGACGGCCAGGCTGTTCATGGTGTTTCAATGGAGAGGAATTCGATCCAAAGCACCTGTTGCATCCAGCAGTTTCGCCGAGCTGCCCCTATTGTGACCTATTGTATGAGCAGCTTGTGAGCAGTGTTAAGCATGTTTACAGTAACTCAGTAAGCAATTGCCACCCAACAATGCCAAAAAGACTTCTAATTCTTTCATTCTGAGTTGTTTGACAGCGATAGTGAAAGAATCGGCTGGAGACTGCACCATGCTGGGGCTCTCGGAGGTAGCCGCTCGCAGGGTAAATTTGCCCAGCGAGCCGCTGACTCATGAGGTGCACAACGCCAGCCTGCAGCATGTACAAATTGCAGCCAAAAGCGTCGCAGTGCTGCAGTTCGTCTTGGATGTTCAGTTTGTTTGGGATGTTAGGCTTGCAATATTTTGCAACAATATCTTGCAATAAAACAAAGTTGACTTTTGGCATCTTTTGGCGCTGTTGGAGTGCTTCCAGTTGCGTTTCTCATTTTTGTTCTCGCTTCCCCGAGGCAGATCAGACAGGAACGGTGGGTCCTGGGCCAGCAGCCTATGCACCAGATCACAACGCCTGCAACTCAATGAGTCTGACCATGTCTAGCCCAACGTGATCTTGTGAACAAAATAAAGCAGAAGGAATTTGTGCGCCAGCTGGGCAGCTGGGCGTCTCCGTGAACCCGTGAAGAGAGAGAAGAGAGAGACGAGAGAGAAAGAGAGAGAGAGAGAGAGAGGGGGGGGGGGGGGGGGAGGGAGCGCGCAGGCGACAAAGAGACATTCTAGTCGCGGGTCAAGGTATCGACTGGCGGAGTGTAGTATAGCTTCGCCAAAGACCATCAGACCCTATTTCCCAAAGTCAGAATCCTTTGAAGCTGAAGGTTTCCCACCATTAGTGAAACCTTTGAGATTAGTGTTTGGAGGCTTGAATCCCCTGAGCACTCCTCTTTTCGAGGCCCATGCTCTCAAAAATAGGGAGACCCAGGGTCCACATGCTGGAGCACTGCAGGTTCTCTTGAACCGCGGCCCTGCCTACTTCACGGTCAGCTAGTCAGTTCTGCAGCCGGGAGCCGTTACAAAAGACCAGCCGCAACAAGACGTAGGACCAAGAACACCATTCCATTGCCTTTTGTTTTGCAGCTTTTCGTTGATAGTTGTGAGCCTTCCCTGGCACAGGCCGGTCGAGGAAACCTCAAGTCACGTTCCATTGGACCTGGCTTGAGTCTTAGCCGTAGCCGGTCAGTTACCCTAGACTACCGGAGACCCTGAAACCATACAAACGTAAGCAAACCAGAGTTGATGACTCAACGCAGGTAGGATCTCATTCCACCACCAGCCAGGCCCTGGCTACTATGGCCCACCTCGTAGCACACTTCGTGGCAAGGTTGGGAGGCGCCGGAATTCAGTTGCGACCCTTTGATTTTACAAAAGCACGACGTCCCCTTCCCAAAATTTATCAAATACAACTTGGATATACTTGGATAATCTTGACAATGATAAGCCACGCAGCCACGCGAGATATGCTCAGCAAGCCAAACTCCGACACTTTCTTTTTTGGGGCTCACCCCGACCCCGACCTCATATTTTGTCACTCTCATTCCCCGGATAGCGAGAGCCATTAGGGTTCGTATGTGCTTCAAGTATGGGAAGAAGTGCGTGTGCGCTTCAGAGTCGGGGTGCTGGTTCCGTGCAGGTCGCCGCTACCAAATGTTTATGGGTGCTGGTGTCATGCCACCGTCATGCCACCCACAAATATCTTTTGTTATCTGGGCTCTATGCTAGCATCATTTTTGCATGTTTTGATGTGTTGTGTCACTTGTGTCCCAAATTTTCTTAAGCGGCCTGATGCTGCTATTTCCAAGTGCCAACTATCTGCCGTTGTTGCTCCGGCTTCTCACGACTGGCTTCATTTGGGAGCCTGACAGGTGTAACCCTTTCCTTGCAACTAATAGCTTCTTGTTACTACTAGTAAGGCACTTGTTACTAGAAGCGATGCACTTGTTCCTAGTAGCTTATTGTAAGCTGCAAGATTGTTGCGTGAAATCCGATGAGGTGGGGTGGCCCTCCGTGGCGGCCCAACACTGCGCCGGATGATGGTGGTGATGGGCGAAGCCCAGGATGAGTGGAACCATTGTAACTTGCGTATACTTGCGTAGGGTATGGCTTTCATTGGACTTCCGATTTTCATTGGACGAATAGTACTCCAATGACTCTGACTCTTTCGGTCCGGGTTGAGAGGACCGAAGTTCTTCCCACCCAGCACATTGACGGGCCCACAGTTCAGTATGGGAGCTCGGCGTGAGGCAGGACTGTTTGTGAGACAGGTGGTCTCCAACCTCCATGGATGGCAATGATGGCAGGCACTAGATTCAATGGGAAGGAAGCTTCCAGGTCCAAGAACACAGCACAGATCTCAGCACATGGCAGTCTTACCAGCAGTCCTAGTCGGGACATGTTGGGACTAGGTGTCCAACTGCCTCCTTCTTGTTGTAAGCTTGTTGGCACACTTTCACCACAGATTTATCAAAGGACGAGCGTGTCCATATGGTCTTGATTGGAATCTCAGGTTTGGATATTAATTCACAGCGCTTCTGAAAGTTGCTGAGTAGAGCCCAGATAGAACAAGTGGAGGCAGCAGCTGGCTGGTTGAACAGACAAATGCTGGTAGCTCATTTTGATGTGATATGGCTGACTACCTCGACTGTTGTCCAGCTCCTCCAAAGTTTGAGGGCAAATCGGACTGTTTGGAAAAATAGCAAGCTGCACCTGTCCGGGAACAGCCTGCTTGATGCTGTGTGATGCATCAGCCTGCCTCAGTTAAACTGTGAGCGGATGCTGCAGAGACCCGGTGTCACATCTATAGTATCACAAGCGCACTGAGGATCAAGAGGAGTCTTCAAGTTTGTCGGGAAAAGCTGTGGCGGAATGCCGGTGACAATGCTCGACTCAACTCACTACATTGCGAGAAATTTATCAAGCAATTCTCATTGGAGGCTTCAGGCTCCCATAGCGTATGAGGGGATCAAGAGAGTGACAAGCATTGCACCCAAATGGCACATGATTCTCCGCTTTGTACTGCAGCTTCACTTGGCACTGGCCTTTTTTGTGTTATCAGAAATGCAATGTGCCCCGCTGTGCACTTGTATCGTATATGAGATTTTTGTTGGGAGTTCAATGATCAATCCAGCCAGTCAGAAACTTGCACATAAAAATAACAGAGAATGTCAGCTCCTGGTGTGTCTTTGCCACAACAAATTCGCCTTGATGTGATTGCTTCTTCAGCCGCAAGAACAGTTAACCTATCATATAGAGTATTTGCAGATGGACGGACGGCAATGTTTGACTTTGATGACATCGAGGAAGGGTGAGATCCAGGCAAACAGGCAGTTTGATGAGATTTTTTTGCCTTCAAAGCTTCAGAGACTAGGACTTCGAGGCCACTGTCAACTAGGGCCAGGGCCATTCTTCATAGAAATCCTAGAGAGAGAGAGAGAGGATTTCATTTGACCTGATTCACTTCACCATTTTGTCACCCTGCAGGAGAAGCTCGAGGCTGCTGCCAAGACCAAAGCCAAAGCTGCCCCAGCCGGCAAGGTGCAGTCTTGTGACCTGAATCGCTGTGTATCACACACCAATGAAGCCGATCTTTTTCACAAGAAAGCCGCAAAAGTCGAGAGAGAGTCCTGAGGTCAGCCCTGCCGCTTTTAATGGAGAGTGGGTGGATGAGGATGGAATGTTGGCCATGAACTTGGAAACGCCGTAGGACCCATATGGCATCAAGTTCAATGTTGACATGGGACGCTACTAGTAACAACGGGCATCGCTACTAGGAGCAAGGACACTACTAGTAGCTCCTGGCGTTACTACTGGTAGCAAGGACGCTACTAGAAGCTTTTGAGGTCACAATCAATAGCATGCAAATGCTGGGGCCAGATGGCGTCGAGATTCAGGTGTGGTGCAGAAGCACAGGAACCCTCAACGGTGACTTTTGTTAAGTGTTCCCTCTGAGCTTTTGCACTCGGTGAGGTGCAATTCCCGGCAGCAAATACGATAGCCTTTTGTCCAGGAGCAGGCCTCCACGATGACGGTGTAATTGAAAAGAATCTTTTGGATTCCTTTTTTGGCTGATTGAACCCAGCTCACGGAGCCTTTTGTTTGAACTGGTTCTGCAACGGATTGTGTGGTCTCAGGCGCTCGTTTTGAGGGCAAGCTTCAGGGTGATAGGACTGCCTCTTTAGCCGAGCACGCCGAGAACATCCAAACACATCACACTATCACAGATTCTCAAGACTGCTATATAGTTATTTTATGGACTTCGCTCTGGAACAAGCTGCAAGCGCAGGATTTCATGGAGTGATGGCGCCAGCTGGGCCGGGTGACCCGTGGATTTCTCGAATGGCTCCTGATAGATTGAACACATTGAGTGATACATTTCCATTGCAAGAAAAGTTATACAAAATCCTATTTATATATGTAATTTTATATTGCACTTTTACATGTTTCACTGTTTCATGTCAAATGATTGTCCCATGCACCTGCATGCGCTCCGGCAGAGGCGAGAAGGCAT